AGCCAAGTGGTGAGAGGGTGACACAGATAAAGGCACGTCAAGTATCTAGCTAAGAGGAGACAGAAAAAACATTACTTTTCCCTCTAAATACACCCAAAAAAACCTTTAAAAATTCATTACTTTTCCCTCTAAATACACCCCCAAAAAATTACTTTTTCCTTTAAATACACAAGACTATCTTTCTTTTCCGAAGCACAAAATCAAAAAGCACAATTTTAACTTCCTTCCTTCCTTTATCTTCCGTATACTAGAAACTAAACTAATTTCTGTAACATTAACCATTTTCTTCCTTGTCTATCAAATGCTGTCAATGAAACACACGCAGCCAAATTCCACTCATCAAAGACATTTTGGAATTTCATGGGCTTGACATAGGCCTACGCAAAACCCATAGTTGATGTACTTTACCAGATTTCTTAAAAACATTTCGTGTCTGACTTGAGCAGTAAGGAATAAAATAATAAGCTTTAACAAAGACATTTTTTGCACACAGAACGAGACATCTTCTTGAAACGAGGTAAATGGATCCTACAGATTTATGCCTCGTGAAAATATAAAGCATCTCAAATTTTTAAAAAATCAAAAAAGTAATGCAACTGAACACAACTGTTAAAAAGCCCTTTGCAAACTTGCATTAAAAATGAAATGAAGCCACAAGGAATTTTTTTTTTTTTCAATGCAGGCGTTTTTATTAATCCCCTATTGACACAATTACGATGATCTCTTACGAGGCAGGCTTGTAACCCTGCCTGTCAGGGCCAACTCCGGAGGAGAGGGACACACCACATCCCAGCAGAAAGAACAAGGCACTCAATGAACATTCTCCCCGCTTGGTACGGTAGTCTAACTCAGCTTCGGGCTTATAAGTATGGGCCTAACAATAAAGGAAAGAGAATTCTCATACACTTATTGTCTGAAATATTAACTTAGATAGACCAAAGCACGGTCATCTAACTGTGCAAGATGGTGAAGCGCCTAATCACTACGCCAGATGCCCATTTGGTAAATTTGTACTTGTAGGAATACAAAGGCTTGAGAAAATCAAAACAATATCTCACAGACCAATTCTTCATGACTAGACAGCTTCATTTCAAAACAAGTTCAGCTGTAGGGCAGTGAAGGAATAGTGTATATAACTTGCTTTCTTCAATAAACGGCTCATGTTAAGAAGAAAATGGGCAGCTTATAAAGGAATCGAATACAACAACTATGAGAAGCAAGTGAATGTTCATCTTAAATAGCTTATTCATTTGTCTTGCTTTCAATGAATAAAATATCCAGTTATCTTGAACACAAGTCGAGATATTTGTAATTGAAGGAGGTAGGGGTAACCTGGTTTCAGAGGTAAAATTAATGGAAGTTTAATCATTTCCTTAGTTTGAGAGTTTGTGTAAACAGAAAATTTACATTTTTTGTTCCTTTAAACAACGTTTTTAAGTACAATCCACACAAGAATGTGCTCTTTGATGGACATGAAAGGTGTTCAGCCAAAAAAAAGCCCCAAAATTCTATTAAAATTCCCAAACCCGCAGGAAAATGCCAGTTTCTTCAGTTTCAATATTTTGACGAGCACCCGATTTCACCACACTCTCTCACATATAGATCTTATCATATTCAGTGGGATAAATGTGTGACGCCCCGCTGGAGTAATGACAATTTGGTCGATTTTAAGCACAAGGGGGCTATCCCAAAAATGTTGTTTTGAGAAAATCAAAGATAAAAGTTTTTGCCCCTTGTTCACATTCTTTAAAAGACAAGGAGAGTTTTCTCTATAACCAAACAAAATATACACACCAACGAAACCCAACTTCTCCTATAGGTAGGGCAATGCCCCACTTTAGGTGCAGGTAAAGATTTCTAGAAAACCCCAAGATCTGGGTTAGCTCACTAGTCCTTAAAAGTGACAATTGAATCGTTTGACCAAGTGCAGGCGGGCATTCATGGCTGAGTTGAAGGCAGTTCAGACTTCGTCACCTCAGACCTATTTTGTCTAAAGTCTACTAAACCCACCGGGGCAGTGCCACTGACTGTAGTTTTTTTAGGCCATTCCCAAAGGGGGGACATTTCTCGTTCAAGCATAGTAGAATTGTAAATGGGCTGACTCATGTCACGCTCATAACTGTGCCTGATCTACAACAGGGAACAGCTGCTTTTTCTTTCCTGATCCTTACTATTGTCATTTCCCTCTACTTCTTTTGTATGTTTGTCACTCTCTTGTGACCTGTTATTTCAGAGGTGCCTTGATAGTCGAAGCAGACCTTGTGCTGTTGAAGCTAGAGAGGTGAGCAGTCTAAGTCTGATTCCCTGTAAAGACACCCTGTTGACACCCACCCCTAGGTGCTCATATGACCTTATGCAGTTGCGAGCGCCGTAAAACCCTATACTATAAAAAAAAAAAGTCTACTTAAGTAACAGAGCACTTTGTTGGACAGAATAGTACTGAGGCAACCATTTGAAAGCGGCCAAAAGCAAGGCATTTGTGGATGCCATTTTCCCCCATGTATATATATGTACGTATTTAAGCATATATATATATATATATATATATATATTTAATGCCCTATTCCTATGTATCGTGAAAATTCAAAAGAATACAATGAAAATATATAATTATTGTGAGAAAATGATGTTATGTATAGGCTAGGTAGTAGTCGGATAAAGGAATATAATATATTTTATATATTTATATATATATATAATATGCGAATGTTGCATACTAAAAAATAGATATAAGCATTAAATATATCTTTAGTGCACACAGTTACATTCATGAAATATATTTCTTTCATGTACTCATTACAAACACATAAATTCTTTCACTCTCTCTCTCTCTCTCTCGTTCTCTTTCCTCCCTACCACTCTTGAGCATCATCTTTTCTTTTTTCTCATAAAATGAAAACGTTAAAATTGAGAAACAGCAGAGTCAGCAAGTTTTCTATGGCAACATACATTACATTATGTCCCTCTTAACACCCACAGTACCGAAGGCTCAAATACAAATATAGTGAAAAATAGTACCGCCTCAGTTTAGAATGCTGAAGCCATGGTAGAATTTTTTTCGAACTAAAAAAAACCTTCACAGCCCAAGAAACATGTTTTAAAATTCGGAGGTTCATCAACCATTCAGCTATCATATGGAGTGACTGCCTTTGGTATTTATTTCAGTGCAGTGGGTCCGTTCGTTAGTTAATTATATTTAGTGTGCCCAATCAATTCAGCGACTTGAGTCGCCAGAGATAATGAGCACATGCTACGGCCTGGCAACTAAAGTCGTCAACGATACCGTATGACTTAAGTTGCCTACGGTACTGTAAGTGCTAAGAGTGATATTAATATATTACTAGAAAATATTACTACTAGATCTAGTGAAAGTAACACTAACTACAACTGACGGCAGCATGAAGTTATTGCATCCACTTGAACATGTGAATCTCATATAAAGCCCATTGATCTTTGGATAGTTAATGCCATGGTTGAAATCATTGAAGAGACGCCATTTGTTGATATTCAAAGTAAACTGACTATAAGTGACCATTAGCCCTATCCGTACGTCCAGTTTTACAATCGTATCCATACGACATGGGGAGCTCTGTGCCACCACTTTCCAAAGAGGAAATTAACAGGTTAATCCAATCCGTATGCTTTGCATAGCAGTCTGTCAAAATGATTTTTTGAGAAATACTGAAAGTTTCAAAGAGATCTTCGCACTAGAAGTTTTCTTAAATGTGAAGGATACAACCCCTGGGGTACAAAAAGACCCCAGGGCGTACGGATAGGGTTAAGGCTGGTTTGACTGTACCGTATGTAAAAATGTCTGCTCAGCTTCGGTAGAATTGACACAATGAACAGCTTTATTTTTATAATACTAACTTTACCACTATCCCTTGCAAAGATTAAAAACTCGTCAGCTGTAGTCCTACAAAGTAAAACAACATATTATATATAATGAAAGACGCATCCAATTAGTGTTGGAAAAAAACAAACCCTCTTCATGCTACTCCTCAAAATCCCTCCTGAACTTCATGATGACTCTTGACTTACTGCCGCAAGGCAGACATTAACTTTTAAGTTTAATTACTTCTTAAAATTTCCATTCTTTAATCACAGCAACCTCTTTGGCTTCCGCGTAGAATAAAAAAAAAAAAGAAACAAGAGAAGCATCTAAGACAGGAGTGACGGCAAAGTCGAATTCGAACATCCCTGCACTATACTTATGGGCAGACAGTAATAAGGAGAGGTCAACAAATCAGCTGACCAGAGGCATGAAGACGAGATCTTTAAAAGAATAAAAATGTTTTGTTATAATAAAACTTGCAGCTTCACCAGCCCCTTCACCAACAATGATTCTCTTTTTAAACAACCAGATCTGAGCCAGACATTGATGAGCACGGCCTGGGCCAGAAGCTAAAACAAACCCCCCCCACCCAAAAAAAAAACCCCAAAAAATTATCCAGGTCTTTCCCAGTCACTTGTTATGTTTGTTCATCAAGTTCTCCAAATGGAAAGAACCAACATATATATAAATAGTCCAAATATAGAAGAAAAACA